AGTAGCCGTACATCAATACAGTGCTTTATTCTTCAGTATTAAGCACTTTATCTACCTCACCAACTGCTCTAATATGCAAGTCTTTGGACAGTAGGATGAAGGTGCTGGACTATTAAAAAACCCCAAATGTCAACACATGAAAAGGTGTGATAGTCCACCTTAGGTAACAGAAGAGAATTAAGGGAAGCAAGTTCAACCTAGCCAGGCTTTCTTTGTGATAGCTGACTTGAAAAAGCGTCAAATCCAGATCAGAGATAACAACGAAGAGAAAATATAACACTTCCAGACCATTTTAAACTGAAACGCTGAACATAAGCTGCTCTTAATTAAGTTGTTCAGCACATTACCGTGGTGATCCAAGTAAGAAGAGACCCACCTTCGTAAGAATGAAAGCCATTAACCCATTAATCTCTCTTCATACTACACTGCTCTCCACTGTATTGTGTTCATTTGCCCTGCTACCTCTGCTCTTTGCTTAAATTTAATATAGGACTTTCAATATCCGGTCACAGGAGTATGGAACTACATTTCTTTATTTCATTACATTTTAAGTTAAAGGCTATATTTTTTTTTTAATTGCAATCACTCTTCTGCATGCTTTTTAAACTTCTGAAAATGTTTCATGTATGTGCCTTTTATTAAGTGTATGCCCACTTAAACTGGATATATATTACTATATATAAATATATATTATTAGATACATAGCCACCAATTAGACAACATATTCATATTAATAACAAATGCTATAATCTTAACAAATGGATTGCTTTGCAAATAAAGTAGAAGGAAAACCATCATCTTATAATTTGCATTTCTAAAACAAATACTTGCACAAGTCTGAACATGCAAAACAGTCTGCAGTTAGCCAGTCTGCAACCAGCGATTGCACTTGACTCATTTAACGCATGCATTGCCACATCAACACAGCTGTCAGTGGAAACAGATGTTCAGCCATTAGACAGACGTAGTTTAGTATCACATCTTTGGTTGGTTCATTTTACTCTAGAGCAAAAAAGCTGAATGAAGAGGCTCCAAAAACTGTGCTTTCTGCCGGGGACTGTGTACGCCTCTCCCGGCTAGATTGCCCCGGACCAGCCCGCACAGATGTCAGTAAGAGCTGAACAGTTAACAGTCGGTGTTCCGCCCATCACCGGGCCTCTCAACCAATAAACACTGCCAACAAAATACATAAAAATTCTTCTTTGGTTTAATCTAACGCAACCCTATTGCAGACTTTACATGCCGAAGAGCACTGAAGGTGCTAACACTTAGAAAAGGAAAGCGGTTTTCTCTCTGGGTCAGGCATTATGCTGTAAACAATGAAAAATGTTGCTGCTACATTTTCTGGGTCAATTTCTGTTAGTACGCCGCAAAACAACGGTGCATACCGCCTTCATCAAACTGCCCCGCGATGCTTCCAGTGCGGTGCAAATATGTCCAATAACCTCAAGATACATACTAGCATGCCCCCAGAATGAAGTACCAGTAGATGAGCATCATATTTAGTCATCTTGATGACAAAAACCTTTGCAGTGGATGCTGTTAGCTTAGCTTAGCAACCTAGCTGTTTCTATGAGCCAAACGTCTCACCGTCCAGTAGCAGTGCCACTTCAAGGCCTTCGGATAGCCGCCATCCCAATAAACATGGCCGACCACAAGACATTTAGATAGTTTACCACATCGTGAAGGAGATCTCTAGTGAAAGTGCCAAAGAAAACGAGAGCTAAGGTGCTAAAACAGCTGATCTGCCTAAATATGTGACAATGTTTATGTTGTCTGTTAAGTATCTGTGGTTGGCCTGTGGACGGATGCCCTTCTTCTTCGTGTAACAATCCTTGTTGCTGCTTCTTTTGTACCCGTGCACTGGTGCCCCCTACAGGCGTTTGATTGTAAGTCCGCCAAAGACAGTTGATCAGCCAGTTTACGATGAACCACACTGTCAAATAAACATCTATAGTCTCCGGGATGACTTAAAAAACAAAACGAAACCATAATATATAGTGCAATATCGTCAACTAAGACAAAAAAAAAAAATCAAAGCAGGGTTTGGGCCAAAACCATTGTAAAAGACTGATATCACCTTGGCACCACCTGTTCGAACCTGCACATTCAGATTAACAGTAACACATATAGTAATATATTAATATTCTATTGATATGAAGTATGCTCATATCAGAAAACTTTACTGCAGAATAGCTGCAGACCTGCAGACATCAACTGACCCCTGCACTCTATGGTCCAGTTGCCTCTTTTGTATTGTGTGCATGTGCTACTTTGTGATTTGCCTAATGTTTATTTCTTTTTCTTTTTTTTTACAGTAACAGTCTTAAGGCATGCTTGTGTGACATTTATTTAATCATACATGAATGTATGCATGTAGTTTCAACCTTGTTGCACCACACAGGAGTGGCTCAGTGACTCATCCCAATCTCAAACTGCTTTATTTCTAAAGACAACAAAGATTTCTATTCTATACTATATTTTTACATGTCACTTGTTGTCACGTGTTGCTTTGTCAATTTATAGCGAAATATTGTAATATAATAATACTTTATTCACGGAACAGTAATTGTTCTGGAAACTAAATAAATCTGAATTGAAGTGGCAGCAAAAACTCGAGAACAAATAAAAATAGAAACCATTTAGATAATGCAAAACTATTAACTCTGGTATTAAGGATAACAGAATTTGATCCATTTACATTTGTCAAATCCATTTACATTGTGGGTCACACAGCCCAGTTTTGTCTTAAGTAGTGTGGACCAGTGGCCATTCTCTGTCAGTGTAAAGAAGTTTATACATATTTCTATAAATATGGTTTTATAGATTTAAATATGCAGAACGTTTTGAGTGTATGGATTATTAAAGCCAGGAGGTTCATAAAATAAAATGAATCATCAGCTAATAGATTAAAGCAGCTTAAGCATCAGACAGACCTGTTAGTTATTTAAAGGGATAATATTAAATGAGAAAACTCTCAGTGCGCTATATTCCAGTATATGAGGAAATTAAGAAAAGAGGAAATTAAGTCTGCACCTCCAGAGCGCCTTCTTAATGTGCTCCAAGCCACGCTGAAATAAAACCGACATCCATGTATGGCATAAAATAGAAGTTAAACAAATCAGCAGTTTAAATAGGTTAAATAGTTTTAACATAATATCTGCAAAACCATTTACTGCACAAATTGTGCTTGGGTAAAGTGTATCTGTGTGTAATCAGATTAACCTAAGAGTGTGTTGCACAGAAAGTGATTCACTGTTAGATAAGGTAAAAACAAACAAACAAACAAACAAACCCCACCATATTCGTTATAAAGCGTATAGTTTAGAGAACTCCGATGGGCTCCTAAACGCATCGTGATGGAAGGTGTGTTTTTCCTCCTCTTTTCACTTCTTTTTTGGGGAGGGGGCACAAAGCATTTCCTCTTTCCCAAATGCATCACACAGCAGAGCAACGACCGCGACTCTTCGCACAAATTAGCGATAAGATCGGCAGCGGGATGCCCCAGAAAGCACGAACCGTCCACATCCGCACAGTGAACAACACCGGGACGTCGCGCAAATAAGAAGGGGGGGAAAAAGTTCATTTTGGATCCAGCAGCCAAAGTTTGACGTAATTCTCCCCCGGACACCAGGAATAGTCTGGAGTGTCATCATGGAAGTATTTCCTAAGGAAAAACAAGAGATTCTCTCTCTCTCTCTCTGAACTTGAAGGTAATCTGAGAATGTGAAAGCTGGGGAGAAAAACCTTTTTCAGCCTGTTTTCTCTGAGGTTTTTTCCAGATGTCCATCTCCTGATGCAGGCAGCGGCTGCTTTCTGAAAGAAGCGAATTTCATTTCATCACTTCTGCTGGAGTTTAACAGCTGGATCGTTCCATAGATACATAAAAACACACATCGTGTGTCTCCGAGGAGCTTTACTTTTGATTTTTAAACCTTCATGCTGGATGTAAAGACTTGGCAGCGTTTCGGGGACGTGCATGGACGCGTAGGAGACGAAATGAAGAAGCAGTTTTAGTACAGAAGAGTCGGGAGTTATGATGGTAATGTTGTTTGGGTGAAGCCGTCGGAAACTCACAAGGGAAGCCCAATGAGTGGCACACAGTCAACACTCGCTGACAAGTAAGTTCGCCACTCTCTCTCACACTCTCATTCTCTGCGTGTCTTTATTTGTTGCTTAATTTTGGCTTACGTGCTGACGAATGGGTTTTCGGGTCAGTTTTGTGAATGGAAAGACACCTTAGTGCATCACACCAGATTCCATTAAAAAACACCTGATTTTAAAATATATTCCCGGCTGGAAAACATAAACAACATATAATCGGATTGGATTATTTGTATTTTAGTTTCGTATATTTTTTTGTTAATTCGGCGATTTAATGATTCAATTCATCTATGTATTTTAATGCTTAGGCTTTTTTTATTTTAATGCTTATTTTAAATGTAAATTAAAAGCTTGATTTTAATACACTTAAAGTTGTTTCATTTACTACTTGGACTGCCGAACAAAGCACACGGCTTTGATAAACACTTAAGCAACTTTAATAATCTCACAGCAACGTTATCCAGGTAATAACGACAGGGAAAATCAAATTTTACAGTTTTCTCAATGGAGTTCACCAACATGTCCATTGTAAAACTAATTGGCCACAGAACTGGGCAGGGTTTTCCCCAGTTTGACTCCAGAATATGACTGTCAGAGTTGAACCAGAAGAGGGATATTTCGTGGTGCTGCTATGTTTTCAATTAGTTGCCTCTAATATATTGCTTAATTTGAGAGTTTCCTGAGTATTTTTCTTGTTTACTCTTGAAAGGCGTCCACTAGTACTTGTTCAGTGAGTCAGCATGTTTTCTAGGATACACACAGGAATCACCACCAGTCACTAGACCTTGGACATCTCCAAATCCTTGACTAAAGTCACATGACTTCAATACAGGCAGGGAGTTTCACTGACAGGCTGTAGCAAAGGGAAGCAGGTATAAATGTATTAACCCCCACCCTTATTAATCACTGATAACAGCCTCAAATAAAGAATCAATCATTATTATATGTTTTCATGTTGTTCGGTGTCTTCCTTCTCTGGGGTAGAAACATTATAGGCTGACTTTGACTCACATTCAATCCCATATAAGCTATTTCTGTATTTGTTTTTCTTGCACTTTGCAGTCAGGAGTTTTCTTTGAGGAAACCATTGAATAAAAGCACACATGACTGCCTTGGAGAGTCAAACAAAGTCATTTGATTTCTCGACCTTCAGCCTGCAGGAAGGACCCAGTCAGTCGACTGCTTTGCTGGTTTTTAAGACAACGAGTCCCTTCTGTGTTCATATCTGCTTAATGATCATACAATCTTAATGATTCTTAATAGGCCCTAGAAGAGAAAGCCTGCCATAATATGACTCATAAATCATACAGACTGAGTCATGTAACTCATCCATCTTAACTATGTTAACACACCACAGTCCTGTCAGCTGTAAGTGTCCAAATATTACAACAATTTTAAAGGATTTTTGAAAAATGAGGAGATTAACATTGACACAGGTGTTCTTTTTTTTTTTAAATTAAACTAAGGCGCTGGTTAGCCTAGTTTAGCACAGTAGCTAAAAGTATCAGGAAATTGCTTATTGTGGTCTCGCTCCGGCACAAAGGTACCAAATGTGCTAATGTCACTGTTAAAATAATGTAGAGAAATGGTTAGTAATGCATTTTTAATTGTGTGTAAATTTATTTAGAGAGATACAAGATGTCTATTTGTTGGAGATCTTGATGAATGAGCGATATTTGGAGGTCTCTGTAGGCCAGGGGTGGGGGAACTCCAGGCCTCAAGTGCCGGTGTCTTGCAGGTTTTAGACGTGTCCTTGATCCAACACAGCTGATTTTAATGGCTAATTTACCTCCTCAACATGTCCTGAAGTTCTCCAGAGGCCTGGAGTTCCCCACCCCTGCTGTAGGCTTTTTTGATTTGGGGGAACCCAGGCTAGCTTGTTGACATCACCGAATCGTTGGTGAGCGGTAGCTGGAGTTTGCGGGCTGTCATCAGGTGAAATCAGTTAGGAAGAGGGTGTTGAACCAAAAACCTTCAAGTGATTGGTTTGGTTAGTGGCTCACTGGTCCAGCTGCCCCTAGTTTGTATCAAAGTCTTTCTCCAGACATTTGCTATTTACTCTCAGGGCTGTAGTGAAACTTCAGAAAGTGCCACACAAACTGGAAATGGATGACGTTGATGGTTGCCACGGGAACACGGATGAGCCCCGAGGCCTGCATGACTGGGGCCCTACACACAGCTATAGAAGAAGTGATTATCAATCTTCTTAGTTCACTCTGGATGAAACTACTTAAGAACATGTCCAGAAATGTTGTCTAAAACCACCACAATGATGTTTATCAATAAAAAAAAAACAATCAAGTCCAAGATTGCTGGAACTATAACCACAAAAAGCAGTTGTATCAATAATGTTAGGTTTTAATAAATTCTGATCTTCGCTGAGATCCTTTAGATATAAGCCGCTTAGTTCATGATGAATATGAGATCATTGTTTATTACATTTTTAAACTAGTTAGCAGCTTATAATAATAATAATAATAATAATAATAATAATAATAATAATAATAATAAACTTTATTTATAAAGCACACTAAAAAAAACCAAGGGTATACCAAAATGCTTGACAAAATAAGATAGGAAAAAAGATTTGGGAGAGGGAAAAGAGAGAGAGAAAGGACCCGGCACGTATTAAATATAAAACCATGAGATTCATAATACATAAAAGTAGTTAACAAAGCATAATAGATAAAAATGTGTCAACACAGACCAAATATTTGCTAGATGGAAAAGCAAGATTAGATAAATAAATTGCTTATTGCAGAGATAATGATGTGCTGCAGAGATTTGTAAATGATGTAGTTGCTATTATTTGCATCAGCTTTATGATGATAGCAGTTTCAACTAACATGTGTTTTTGTTTGTTTGTTTGTTTGTTTGTTTGTTTGTTTTTGTCTTGGATAACGTTTTGGCACACATTGAGCACCATATAGGCCAATAATGATAAATCTAAATATGAGCCAGTGTTGCTTTATTAAATTGGTTGACCAAAATACTGATTGGGTCTAATATGGAAATATCCATGCACCATATTTTAAATAACTGTTATGTGAAGGGGAAAAAAACTCATCAACTTTAACAATGGCGCTATAAAATAATAGTAATTATAAATTTTGATTAAGGACACGTGGAAAAAGTGCAGACCTCGATCAAGAATGAAAAATCCCTCCACAGGGACTAAATTTAAAAAAGGGAATAAATTCTCTGGATCTAGAAGGATATCTCATTTGTTGAAAACATAAAAATGATGTTTCCTCATTTTCTTATTCAAATTTATTATGTTACAACTTTTATTTCTCCTCAGCCGTCATGTTTGATAGTGATCTCAGGACTCACTCAGCCATCGTGAGTAGTGATGGGCGTTGTCTATGAAGGGTGGGGGACGTGATCAGTTCATACTTGTGGTCAACACTTGCAGGGATTTCCTCATTTAAGGGAAAGGGTTACCCATGCTTGTCTTTGATGGACACATGCTCATCTGCTCAGTACTCCACTCATCACAGACCTGTTGTTGCTCAGGCTCGTGTGGCTGAATGCCACATGACCCTCTAAGAATTTGGACCTGGACGCCACCATCTCGAGTAACTAGTTAGCATGTTGTTCATTATAACCAGACAAATCGCTCTACCACCTTACTAGCTGTCCTCCACCACCACCACCACCCAGTGCAGTGACTAGTAACAGCATTCCTGGTTTGAACCTGCGGGGCAGCTTCAGTGTGGAGTTCACATGTTCTCCCTGTGCCTGCATGGATTCTCTCCTCCCACAGCCCTGTTAGGCTAATTTGTGTATCTAAATTGGGCAAAGCTATGAATGTTTGCCTGCCCAGATTGCATCACTCTTCCCGCCTCATGACAACTGAGATAGACTTGGATAAGCGGTAAAGAAAATTGATGGGTAGCCTAACAAACAAAGAAACAAAGAAACCCAACCAATTACATAACCTTCTTGGCAGAGGTAATGGATGAAAAATATTGTATTGATTAACGAATAAACCCTCACAGTATCATTTCCTCTGGACAGCTTCATCTAATGATCTCACGTTCACTCTCTGCCTCATCTTTATGGAAGAGCTACAACTGGAAACATGACACTGATCATGTCTTTGTCTATATTAATTATTTACCAGCCTCTAACTGTAGAAATGGTAGTGCGCTGTGTATTTGAGGTCTTTGTTATCTGTGTTTTCATGAAATTCTTGCAGATTAGACGGCTTTGAATGGGACTGCTGCCGTCAGACGTTTGCTCGATGTCGTGCATCCCTCGTGTGATGACAAAGTGTCCGTCTGTCCCTCGCATACACACCTCTTTGTTGATCTAATTTGTTTTACTATCTAAACAATACATGCACATTACCACATTACTGAAATGGCTCGTCATTGCCTGGTAACAAATGTGCCAACTCCAGCAGTGGTTGGGTCACGGCCTGGGCGCTGTCCAAGTGTTTCTCAGCGAGAAGAATTCAGCCCCCCCTTTGCAAAGTTTCTGGTAACATTTGCAATATTTTACGGTCTTGATGGGACACGTTCTCCCATCTGCCTCGCCTTGCAGAAGAAACCAAAACCATCCTCTTTCCTGAGGTTAATGAGTCTTGCTGGGCTTTAGGCGCAGGCACAGCTTCCTGCAGGTTGGACAGAAGCGGTAAGCTTTTAGACCTACAAAGGAATTGTTTATTACAGCTGGGATGGATCGGAAATATGGCTAAAAATAAGTCGGCAAAGGAAATAAACTCAGACAAACAGATTAAACAGATTAATTAAAAAAAGAAAAGAAAAGAAAAACAGTGAAATAATGTCTTTTGTAAACAGTGTTCACAGTTTGTAGATGTGCTTCCTTGTCCAAATTTGATCTATCCTGCTTGTCATACGTGTGCATGTGCAATGAGGCGTCATCACTTTTAGTTTTATCTCCACATGGTTTAAACAGTTTGGATAATCTGGTGGTTTGTTTATCAGACTGCTGCCGGATATACTGAGGTCAGTCGGTTTTGTGGAGAATGATATTGATAGAATTTAGAGGA